GGATAGACTCAAAGTCATATTTTGGTTGCCTTGGATTTGGTTTAATTTTCCTCAGCTTTAGCTTGAATTTGCATATGAGTATTTGGTGGTCTGTTCCACAATCAGCTCCTGACCTAGTTTTCACAGCTGATATTGAGCTTCTCCAGCGGTTCTTTCCACAGATATAATGGATCCGATTCCTATGCATACCATCAGGTGAAATCCAGGTTTATAACCTGTGTTTATGTCTCTTAAAAATGTATTTGCTATTAATAAGTCATTGATTGTGCAAAATTCGATCATTCTCTCTCCAGCTCCATTTCTGTCACCGAGTCTTTTCCAACTACTGAATCTTCTTCTTTGTTCCCGACTTTTGCATTCCAGTCACCCATTATTATCAATGCATCTCGACTGCATGTTCGATGTGTCCTTTCTTATTTATTCTACAACTTTTACAGGCATTTGAAAATACTGTAACTTGGGTCAGATATATCTTAGTCACTACAGTGACCTGCATGCTCTTTAGAACTTTAGAGAGGCCCTTGGCAGCAGGTTTCCAAGAGAGTATGTTTTCTGATTTCTAGTGTTTTTATAGTACCACTTCAGTGAAAGGTTACACAGCATACTGGTTTTTCATTCAGTTATTCATACAAAATATATTTGATAGCATTAATTGTAATGTTCACAATGTGTTGTTGTTATTGTTAGGTGCCAATGAGCTGAGTAGCTTATGAACAATGAGTCTGAACCCTGTCCTGTTCTGTGTCATCCTGATCATTTCTGAAATACTTGAGGCTCCAGTACCTACGTCAATCTATCTCATGAAGAGTTGTCTTCTCTTTCGCCTACTCTCTTCCTTTCAAAGCATGATGTCCATTTCTAAGGAATAGTCTCTCCTAGCAACATGCTTAAGTATGTGAGACAAGGGAGCTTTGGTGGCCTAGTGGCAAGAAACTGCATTGCAATCCTGAAGGCACTAGGTCCGAAGCCACCAAATGCTCCGTGGGAGAAGGATGGGCAAACTGCCTCAGAAAACCATCTGGAGGGTCAGCTATGGGTTGGTTCTGGCTCAATGGTACATAACAACAACAAGCTATTAAGAGCAGCAATATGCAAAGACACTTCACCAATAAAGTATGTGAGACAAAGATTCACCATCCTTGCCTCTAAAGAGTACTCTGGTTGCACTTTGTCCTAGATATATCTATTTGTTTGACAGTCCATGGGTTATTCAGTATTCTCCTCCAACATCACATGTCAAAGACATTCATTCTTATAGCTCTAATTCAATGTCCACCCTCTGATTAAAAAGACCCTGACTTGAATCAAGTGCACCTCAGTCATTAAACTGACATCACAACTCTCTATTTCTACGGTGAGGTTCTTGACAGCACATGTTCCAATGCAATACGCATTTGATTTCTTGACTGCAGGTAGCAAGAGGTGTTGAGTATGGTTCCAAATAAGCTCAAAACATTGACAATTCCAAACTTCTCCCGATCTATCAGGAAGTTGCTTATTAAGCCAGTGATGAGGATTTTTGTTTCCTTGATGTTTAGATATAAAAACAATGACAGACACATAGATCAATAAAATCGAATTGAGAATCCAGAGATCAACCCATCTATCTATGGTCAACTGAT